AATGAAATTAACATAGTTATTAATTTATTGTAAAAACATGACTGATAATCTGTGAAACAGATCCGGTTCAGCTGCTGTTTATCTATTAGTTTCTATGGAGGCTGTAAGCTGTTGCCCTTTTTGGACACCATTTTGCTCCTCCATGCTGTCACAGACTACCAGTGGACGGTATGGGCGGGGCTTAGTCTAGTGATCTATATTCAAGTCTATGGTTGAGCCTTTGATTTTGGACAGCCTTCGGCGTGTCGCTGTGATGTCGTCAGCCTTCAAATTTGGCCTTTGAAGGACGTAGCCCCTGAATTTGAACACAGCCCTTAGAAACCACGGGTGCCATATCCTTAAAAGGTATCAATAATGGAAATATATACAGGTTTTAGACCTCCAGCAAAGAAAACCCACAAGTGTTGAATAAATTGAATCGGACAGAAAAAGATGCAACATTCTCCGCCAAAACTTTTAGCAGCTGCTCTTCTCAGTTCCTAGATGTTTAACACTGTTGTAAGAAGAAGGATGGCTTCACAGTGAGGAAACATGACCCTGCCCCCGCTTTCCTTGGATTTGTTGCAACGTCTCAACAACTTTTGAGAAATGTTTCAACTTTCTTTTTAATACTGTGGTTTTTCTTCTAAATCAGACCACAAGTTTTTTTTTTGATCAAGGTCTTTTTATTAAATTTTTTACATATATTTTTACAAACCAAAAAATGGAACATACGTACAAAAACACAAAACAAAACACACACACCCAAAATCCCTGATCTTTACCAGGTCACAACTGCATTATAAACAGCTGAACACAAGACTGGAGGCAAAGACACAAAGAAACCAAAAGATAGACAGTGACACTGGAGGCCATGAACACATCATAATAAACCTATTTGTTAATCATACCTGTAGATCCCAGACCTCTGTCACTCCCTGCACAAGTCTTGGAAAAAGTATGAGAATTGACATTTTTAGTTTTGCTGATGTTTCATTTGCGGTTATACATGTAACACATGAGTTTAGGCATTTTTTTGACGATTGTCTTACTCAAAGTTATTATCCCGTGGATCTTTAAAAAGTCTTAAAAAGCCTTGAATTTGTCAAYCCAAAAATAAGGCCTTAATTAGCCTTAAAAAGCCTTAAATAGATCTTTCAGAGGTCTTAAAAATGTTAATGCATTTTAAATAGGATGATTGTAAATTGTCTCAAATATTAAAATAACTGATAACTTTATTACAGAACTTTTATCGTAGCTAGTTCTGTGTTAAAATAAACATTCGGGTAAAATTGTCACCAAATGKTTTTTTTTCCGCATTTTCATTTAGTGTGAATTGAGTCTTAAATTTCTTTTCAAGTGGCATTAAAAAGGTCTTAAAAAGTCTTAAATATAACTTGTAGGAACGCTGTATTAGAAATGATTGAATCTCAAAATAATGGGCTTCTCTCATACGACCAACCCAGTTGGCGAAGAATTTGTTCTTACTAATCTCTTTAAAATGATGTGTTTATTAGTGTCGGGACTATGAGAGGCCGGTCAGTAGTGGCCTTGCAGCTCACATCACAGACTGTGGGAAATGCAGTTCTGCTTTCCTGTCCCTTCAAAGAAACCCTGCTCTTTGGCAAAATGGCAGGAAGCTTCCCCGCCTCTCTGATAGACGAGCACAAAACAACACAAATGGCCAGCCTGACCACATCACCGTCTGACTCTTCCCCCTCTCTCAGAATGCATTAAGCTGGCACCGCCAACTGTCTGCAGTCTTCTAATAATGGCAAAGAAAATCCAAACAAAACCAAGTCATTCAAATGTTCAATGTGGGGGCAGAGATTTCCTACTCTTATTTATGGCAACTAATGCGTGACAAAAATGGGAAAATTTTCATTTGGCAAAACTTGGATGCTTGGAAATTCAAGGAAGACTGAAGAGGGAGACATTAGCCGTGTTATTTTTCTATGCGAGCTTCTGGTTCACTGTTCTCATTCACAAGCTTTTATGGGTACAGTTTGTCACCTCTGGCTCAATGTGCA